AACTCTACAAAGAAACAAAGGAAAAAAATGAATTACTAAATGAATTACTCATCAAAGAAAAGCAAAATAGGAATGAGTTATTAACAAAAGAAAAGAAAAATAAACCAAATAACATATTTAAAAATTCATATGCTGAAACATTGAGTTTACCAAAGCCTAAGCCAAAAAAAGTACCAAGACTTATTATCAAACGAACTAATAAAAATGATACCACTAATTTAGAAAATACCGTAGCTCATTATCTGATCAAATATAAAACAATACAAACAAAAAAAATTAAAATAGTAAATAATGATACTATCATAATTAACTGCATGAATGAAGAGAGTATTAACAATATAGAAAAAACATTACACAAAAAAATACACACGTTTGCTAAAATTGAAAAAGAGCAAATTAGGAAACCAACTGTTAAAATTACTGGCATCAGCAAATCTTTCACTCAAAATATGCGAGACATTGAGTCAGATATAAACCAAAGAAATTTCCACAATTATGATGACAAAGGTAAAGTAATACACTCATACACTAATGAGAAATTGCAAACTATGACAGTTATAATGGAGGTATCAGCTAATTTGTACAAACACATTAGAGAGAATAAAAGCAGACTTTTTGTTGGTTGCCAAAACTGCAAAGTCTATGACATTATAAATACAAGCCCTTGTTATAACTGTGCTAGGTTTGGACATAGTGGAAGCCGATGTAAAAATGAAGCCACGTGTTACAAATGCGGCGGTAATCACATTGGTAGTCAATGTAATAATAAAACACAAACATGTCCTAATTGCACATACCACAATACTAAATACAAAACTAAATTTGATACTCAACACAGTGCAATTGACAGCTAATCTTGTGAAATTTTAAAAACAAAAATAAACAAATACATTGAAATGACAGACTATCCGATAATGCCAACGCACCAACGCTACTTCGGAAAAATAGAACGCTCGGCTGCAGAAAAACCAACAATTAACGCGCGTCCTGCTCTATCAAGCGGCGCATCATTAGCGTCATTAGCCTCCATATCCTCGCTCAACTTACATGGTAACAACAATACGAAATACAAATAAAAATGCATCCCATCGATGAAAATATTAGCAAAGAAATTATTATTAATAACACTGACGAATTAAATGAGCACATAATAACAGAAAAGGAAATTATTATCTGTGTCAATATCAGAAGTTTGAATGCCAATTACACCAAACTTCTAACATTTATAAACAACCTACAAAAAAAACCAAGTGTTATAATATGTACTGAAACATGGAATTTACAACATTTCCTAGTCTTCAATATTGAACGATACAGTATGTACTATAACAATAGTAGTATTAACAAGGCTGATGGCGTTGTGACCTACATCAGAGACGACATAATTGAATCAACAGAAATAATTCAAATACAAAATTTAAAAATTTTACAAACTACAATACAGTTAGAAAATGAAAAAACTATACTGTTAGCGGCTATATACAGATCACATGACCTACACAAACCACAATTCATACAATCAATCAAAACATACATAACTCAACACATAAAGAAAAAAAATTCAATACTAATAGGCGATTTCAACTGCGACATTTTAAGTCAAGACCCTTGGGATCAAGAATTCTTGCAAATGTTAATGGAAAAAGGACACCATCCAGGATTTAATACGATTACCAGACCTTCGCTGGACAACAACAACAGTGGAACATGCATAGATAATTTTTTTATAAAAATGGAAAATCACGCATACAAAACTTTCAACGTCAACACCCCGTTCAATGACCATTATCCTCTAATAATGGCGTTGCAGAACAAAACAAAAAGCATAAATCACTCACATAATAAAAAACAAATTAATTACCGAAAACTTCAACATATAGCTCAAACTATAAACTGGAATGAAAATAGTGAAACTAATGATACAAATAAATCTATCAATAACTTAATCATGAAAATTCAATATTTCCTTAAACAGGCAGAAAAGAAAAATGTCAAAAGCAAAACTATTAATAGCTTGAAGCCAAGAAAAAAATGGATCACCAAAGGCATAATAAACTCATGTAAAACTAAAGAAAACCTATATATTGAATGGAAAAATAATCCTCACGATACAATTAAAAAAAATAATTATAAAAATTTTATCAAAATTTTAGATAAGATAATTGCAATAGCAAAAGAAAAATACGATAAAAAAATCATAGAAATGGTGCAACATGATCCTAAGAAATTATGGTCAGTTGTCAACAACAAACTAGGGAGAAATACTCAGAATAACAAAACTATTGATTACATCACGGACAAAAATAATAGAATCACCAACCCAGAAGAAATTGCAAACAAAATGAACACATTTTTTTGTGAAATCGGAACGGAACTTAGCAATAATATAATACAACCGCGAAATGCAACGCTCAACCTTCCAAAAATAAACCCGAAAACAATATTTTTAAATTATACAAATGAACAAGAAGTAAAAAAAATAATTGGCAGACTAAAAAACAAAAAAGGAGGAGTTGATGGAATTAATTCATTATTATTAAAATCATTAATCCACTACGTATCTAAACCACTTGCACTTGCTATAAATAAGTGCATTATTAATGAAACTTGGCCTGATGCATTGAAAGAAGCGGATATTATACCAATCCACAAATCAAAAGAAAAACATTTAGTAAATAACTACAGACCTATTTCTCTAATCTCCAACATAGCTAAAATCTTTGAAAAAATAATACATAGAAGAATTCAATCTTTCATTGACAACTGTAATTTGCTTTCCACAAATCAATTTGGCTTTCGAAAAAACAGAAGCACAAAACATGCATTAAATTATATTTCAAACAACATTTATGAACAATTAGATGCAAGTAAACCTATAACAATAACTTTTCTGGATCTTGCCAAAGCCTTCGACACGGTTGACCACAAGATACTGTTACAAAAATTATACAACTATGGTATTAGGGGTAGTACCTATAACCTTATCAAAAGCTACCTAACAAATAGAAAACAATGTGTGAAGGTAAATAATGCAAGTAGCGATAAACAAATAATAAAAATGGGTGTACCTCAAGGAACTATACTGGGTCCGCTACTCTTCCTGCTATACATAAATGATCTACTAACGATTCTACCAGAAAAATCCATACTATCTTTTGCAGATGATACAGCAATCATAGCTAAAGGTAAGAATTGGAAAGAAGCTGAAACTGATATGAACAGTTATCTAAAAAAAGTGGGAATTTGGCTTGCTCTTAATAAACTATCTTTGAATATAGACAAGACATCGTACATGGAATTTGGAAATTATCATGACAGTACGCCAATAAATCTGAAAATTGAAATCTTAGGACATCCAATACACCGAGTCGAAAACATAAAATATCTTGGAGTTACTTTTGACAGTAATATGAAATGGGATTTACATCTACAAATCCTATACCAAAAAACAAAATATCTAACTTTTGTCCTATATAAGCTATCAAAAATAATGAATACTAGTACATTAAAAATGATCTATTACGCACTCTTTCACAGCATAATGACCTATGGAATTATAGCATGGGGAGGAGCGTACACAGGTCGAATTAAAGTAATACAAAACTTACAAAACAAATTACTAAAAATAATCTATAAAAACCAATTTGTGACACATGAATACCCACTTAACTTAGATCAATGCTTTTCGTTGGAATCTCTACTATTCCACTATGATACTTTTAAGGACAAATATATTGGAAAAGAAAGAAAAAGAAGATTCGCCTCAATCCAACACCCAAAAAGAACACTAACTATCAGCATAAAAAACAGTTATGTAAGAGCAATTATGTTATACAATAAACTACCTAATGACTTAAAAACAATTAGCAACACGACAACAAGGAAAAACAAACTTAAAAAATGGATCAAAGGAAACCCAATATGGCAAATAGATTAAACTGCAAAAATATAAAACAATTAATTGATCTCTATGGTACTCTGTATCCGACATCGGAAGTCCATGAGGATGCAGTAGACCATAACAAATTAATACTAGATATTAGAACATTTATTTGTGCAAATAACAATTGCAATTTATCTCATATAAGATCACACAAAAGAATCACTCAGTATAACTATGAAAAAATGCTGAAAGGATCAACACAAGACATCAACAGGATCACAAAGCTAGCTAACAGCCTCTTGAATAATATGAAAACAACGACAGCTACACAAATTAACAGAATAAAATTTACCAAGTCCACACTCGAAGAACATAACATAAACAGTAATAACAAAATGTCTATAGAAACAGTTTTCGATGCTATTGATGAGATGGCATATGAAAATAACTATAGAGCACTGTCAAGAAAACCGATGCCAGCCCCTGGAAAACTGATAGAACAACCAAATTGTATCAGAATGACCTATGGAGACATAAACTATCTAGGCAACAATAAAGCCCTGTTAAACTTTGACAGAAGTATTCAAGGAACACAAATTTTCAGGAACTCAGCATCACCTCTAAAATATCAACCTCAATACCTAGACATTGTAGTTGTCGATGACATAGTGTTCACCTCAACTTGCAAATGTGTCTCGACCAAACAACACAAAGAAATTTTTCCACACTATAGAGAAACTTGCGCAATAGGACTAACATGTCCAGCAAGATTAACAAGCACAGAACGTGTCATCTACAGAAGAACCAAGAATGCAACACCAGGATATTTCACTACAGCTAGACAGATGCTAAACAGAACATGGGATTAGAACAACAAATTAGGAATATCTTTATACAAATTATTAATTAGTTTTAAGTATTAGTTTTAGTTTATTAAACATGCCAGACCAGCGTACAGGAAGAAATTCCTCTGCTGGATTACATGTAATGTAATGTATTTGTATATCATTAATTATTATTAATGTATATTTACTCTGGACATAAATAAATAAATAAATAAATACTTGTGTTATTATTAATTAAATAACCAACTCATAACACTCTTTATAATGTGGTGTATTGCAATATTTAACGAAATCGTATTGAATTTAAATAAGTATGAAATTATCTTTTATGAAAGATTTTTGAACTAAACATTATTTATTGTGTCGATATATATGTTAGATTTTTTATATATAAATAAAAACTTCTGTTGACGAATATTCAGTAGTTTAAGTATAATGTATATTAAATTTGTAATTTTTAATATAATTGACAAATGAAGTTGTATTATTCATTACTAAATTAGGAGCGAAGTTAGCAGATGAGTGATTTATCACTAACGTATCTATAGCCAAAGTTGAGATATATATATCCTATTCTTCTATACACACATTTATATATATATGTGTGTGTTTGTGTTTGAATTCCAGATAAATTGATTATAAATCGCAAAGTAATTCATCTTTGAATGCCAGCGCAGACACAACCTTTTGATGGCCCTGATATTCTCGTTTCAAATTCCCAGATGTTATATTCCATAATCTAGCATAACCATCAGACGAACCTAGTTAAAAATAGAAACCTATTAATTCATGGAAAGACAGATAATTCATAATATCAGACGAACCTGTGAATAAATATTGCGAATCAGCACTAAAAGCTACATCCCAAACCCATCGCTTAGTGTCATGTTGAAGAATTTTGATTTCTGAAAAGTCGGTTGTTCTCCAAATTTTAGCACATTGATCAGCTGAAGTAGTTACCAAAAGTCTGAAAAAATATATCTTTATCTAATTATCTTATACAAAATGTAATTGAAAATATATAAGTAATATTACAGTAAAGAACATCAATGAATGTAAAAATAGAAATATCACGTGATCAGGATACAAGAAAATATCCTTGTATAGAAATGAATACAAATTATATGATTGAAATAGAGTATTATATTTATAGAAACTGTAACGGGGTATGATGGTTGGTGGGCTACGCCGTGTACGGGTTTGCAGGTATGCCTTGTTGCATGTATGCGGAGAAACACGAGTTGCGCGAGCGTTGCCGTGTCATCACACGACGGTGTACGCTTATCAGCGCACTGTATGCTTTTTGAGGAATCACAAACAATTACGGGCAATCACAAACAATTTCTTTGCGTCGATCTTTGTACCACGACCTTACCTTTGCCTCCGAGCGAAGTCCCCGTTGGTTGCTGCCTTTACTTTTGTTAGGCAACTTTAAGTTTGCTCGGTATTGCTAACTTCCGCTAACTAAAAGTGTAAGAGAAAGCACGAAGGTGTACGACGGTAGTGAGTGTACGAAGTGCGGGAATGGGCGCTCTTCAAGGGTCAGTCAATGAATAGGTTAGTTTATGTTTGTTACGTTAACAACTTTTATTAATGCGGTGCTAGATTATAAAGTAAGGCCTGTGCAACGGAAGCTAAATATAGTGCATGGTGGCCATGAGCGCCACCATCTTGTCTGCTGCCTCGTTCACGCAACGAACGTTCGCCTACGCTAGATTCGCGATACGCGCGCGATTACCTCTACTCGCTTTATGATCTCACGTAAAATCAACCGCCGATTTAACTTTTAACACGCGAACATATTGCGGGAAGCTGGTCAGCTTACCTAGTAGATTTTGCTCTCATTCGCGCGCGATTCTCAGGTTATCATCGGTCGCTAGTGTAGTCGGCTATTCCTGGGGGCGGATCGATCCACTGGAGTCCTTTCTTTCTCTCTTAGTTTTTCTTCTCTGACTCTCGTTTTTGTGTAGCTCGCTCAAGAATTCGGCGTCCATCTCGCGTTGTCTTGAACAAGTGTCTTTCAGCTAACCAAAAACTGGCAAGGTGTATACATTCGAGAGTTCTCTCTTCGAATCACTTCACTCCTACTCCCTCTCTCTCCTTGTGCGCGGCGCGCGCCCTGCCTGTATGCCTGGTAGGTACTGCCCCTCGCGGGCAGTTATTCTGATGAGACGAGCACGCGGACGTAACGTTCATCGTTACAACCCCCTTCCAGTCTGGACCAGTAGGGTTTCGAACCGACCCAGTCATTCGCGCTCTTACGTCAAGACAGGATAAGAATTAATACAGTGAGGAGTCGATTATTTTTAACCATTTTATTGAAGATATAAGAGTGAGGGCAGAACCCCTTAAGGTTTTTCCTCGACCTGGAAGCCGGCCGCGTCTTCTCCTTCTTCTACATCGAGACTGGGGCGACCACTAGTCTCCCATTCCAGACTCTCAGCGCCTATCGGCGGGTGTTGCCGAGCGCGTGGGGACCTTGTTATGCGAGTAAATCTGGGGTAATGGTTACTTGGGTTGGTGCACATGCCGGGATCGCCCCCGCAGGTGGCCCTGGTAACGTCGAGATATCCTCACGGACTACCCCCACTGATTTAGAAGTGACCTGTTTTTTCTCGTTTCCGACCTTGTCAATTTGCACGGACGATGAGCCCCCGTGGACTCGCACCCGTGCCTACTCCTCCTTCTTTTAGGCTTCACCAACGAGGTGCAGAGCTGCCCGGATCAGCACGTTAACGGTGGGACCCGCTTGTTCGAATTGTTTGACCGTGATTTTTATCTTGTAATACTCCTAGACATTAATAGGAGAATTTTGCTCCTAAGTATCAAAGGTGGGCGCCTTCTCGACCTCCCAGGGTCTTTGTCGCTAGGAATGGTCCTTTTCATCGGTCTCCCAGGGCCTCCGTTCGAAGGGCGTCATGCACTAGTGATTGGTATTTTCGGGGGTTGTCCTCCTCTTTTCCTTAGAACGGATGGTGGTGAACATAGCGAATAATGCGAGTACGCTCCCACTTGGACGGTTTGGATATTCTTGCAAGGTCGCTCGCGTGGATGCTTCGCAACTCCAATCGCCGGAGTTGGAGTTATTACCTCGTTGCGTGTCCTCAGGGTTTCGTCCGGGTCATTAGATGGAACTACGTTGGGTGGATCGATGCGTAGGCAGCGTGGTCGATTCCAGTTCGTCACGTGACTCTATAGAGATGCGTCCTTCTCACTCTCGACGCGATTGCTCTCACTGGGCGACGATTCGCTCGCTAGAGGTGGGTCGCTCGTTACCTTTGCTCCATCGATGGTCGGGAGGGGGTCATCCTGTAGCACTCGTGTCATGTCGGTGTCTTCTATTGGTATGTCATCATGACTATAATATGGTTTGGGGCATATACCAATTCCTTAATTTCCTCCTGTTGGTTGGTGAGGCGGTAGGAGTTAACTCCGAGTACTTTAACGATCACGTAAGGGCCTACGAACTTGGGTGCTAATTTCACGGATATGCCTTGGGTCGCGCTGGACAGGACTCGTTTTCTTTTTCATACCTAGTCTCCTTCCTTGAATTCTTAGGCCCTTCGTTTAGCGTTAAAATACCTCACCTGGAGTAATGATACATTTAAGACTATCTCAAATTAATCATGCCGCTTGCGCTGCGTATAGGAACACATTCTATCAATCGTGTGAACAAATTGATGAAAACGAGTACATACAATGCCCGGTCTTTCATCAACCCGCGTGGGAGCTGCTGTTCGACCTTACGCTGCTGGCATACTTGGCACTTCCTGACATACTTCTTGATGTCGTTATACATACCTAGTCAATAGTAAGATCGGGCGATACGAGCCAATGTTTTCTTCCGGCCTAAATGACTTGCTGTTTCCGCATCGCTCAAATAGAAACCCCTCACGGTTTTCAGGTAGCACAGCCAACTTCCAGGCATCCTCATCTTCGTGGTGGTCACTAAGAGGTCGTCTGACATACATAACCTTGCCGCCGACTTTCCAATCAGAGTACTGCTCTAGATTGGCGGTGACATTTTGGAATTGATTTCCATACCAAGCGCCACCCCCTTCTTCGATCGGTCTATGGCACTAGTCGCAGCCTCCGTGGGCTTGAATGCGTGCAACACCGCGTCAAGCACGACATTGTCAGCTCCTTTCCGATACTCGATCTCAAAAGTATGGTTTTGGCGCTGTAACGTTCATCGAGCTAATCGATCCGCTGGATTCTTCAGGTTATAAAACCATTTCAAGCTGCTATGGTCCGTCATGATCTTGAATGGATAAGTTTCTATATAGGGGCAGAACTTCCGTAGGGTCCATACGATCGTCAAGCATTCGCGTTCCATGGCTAAGTAGTTTTGCTCAGCGAGGTTAAGAACCCTACTAACGTATTTGATAACCCAGTCGTCGTTATTCACTTTCTGGACTAGGACGGCTCCGATTCATGTAACGCTAGATTCCGTCTCCATCGTATATCGTCCTTCAGGTTCCGGAAGCCCGAGGCACGGTGCGGAGATCATGAGTGCATTAATTCTTGTGGAGGCTTGTTCCTAGTCTGGTCCCCACGTATACTTGCGTCCCTTTCCTGTAAGATTAGTCAACGGCTGAGCATATGGCGAAGTTCCCTAAGAAGCGACGGTACCACGAGGTAGCCTCTAGGTGTGGAACGTTTCCTAGTAGAGGGTACTCCACGATAGAACGGACCTTTTCAAGATCTGGTCTGATTTCATCTCGGTTGATCAGTAATCCCAGCTACTTAGCTTCTGCTTTGCAGAAGACGCTTTTATCTCGATCAATCGAGAATCCAATTTGGCTCAGCCTGTCTAAGACGCTGCAAATGGTCCTCGAATCTTGACGATACTACGATGATTTTCATCTTTTATCTTTATCCAGTATTTGTTCAAATAAACTTAAAAATATATTTACGTAATGACAATTAATTCGTTGATAGTGTCTAAATCAACTCACTGTCATAATTACAGAATTACATTTTTAACTAATCGAAAGAATTATATTGCTTGTTGCCAAGATATAATGACTACAAAAATGCACTAAAATTTTTCTACTATTACAATCAGTCTAAAAGGTGTAGGTGACCGATTTTTTTTTTAACTTTTTGGGATTACTGTCTATATAATAAAGAACTTTTATATAAATTTTGAGGTAATTACAGCAGTTATCTAAAAAATTAAGGTTAATTAAAATATTTTAAAAAGTAAAAAAAATCATATCTCAACAACTGTTAATGCTATCGATACTGGAAATGTTTTAAAAGATGCGTAAATTAATGAACTATAAAAGTAAATTACAAAAGTGCATTTTTATATATTTTTTTAAAGTTATTACATTTTTCCTTAAACAAATGTTTTTATCTTAAAAAGTAAGTTTTTTTTTGAAAATTTTTGCACCACTAGATTTCTTGTCAATTTTCCTATAAAATTCAACATTCAAATTGATCGATCATTCATTAGATACGATGTAGAGAGCAATGAACGTGAGCGCTTCTCTTTAGTACAGCGCGTCCGGCTAGACCGATTGACGCTATGGCCGGCTAGACGCTCACTATCTGCCTAGATTTTAATGAACAGTGTTTAATACATATTTAACAGTTATCTCTATTCAGGTTACTGTTGAAATATTTTATATTCATAAAATGTCCCACATATTTTTCTTTTGCATTAGAAAAATATTAATTCGATTAGAGCGCATCGATTTCCAGTTTTACACTTCCTCTCTACGATCAACAGGCTGGAGACTGATGCATGTATGTTGCGACCACATGAAAAGTGTTAATCTTTCACTGTCTTTTATTTTTTTATGTTTTACGGAGAAAATATTTTAACATTTTCCATTTGTTATTAAATCTTTTTATACCACAGTGTAAATTACAAAATCTGAAGAGTATGAACGTTCTTCAATTGGATTTTTACGCTATTGTAACGTCGGTTGACGAGACAATTCTCAGGCGCACTTTTTG